TCAACTTTAAACTAAATACAATACTTATATACTTGACACCGCCAATTTACATACCACTGTTATTTTCTCATGGCCTACTTGAAAGTATATTACTCAAATTTAGGCAATGTTCAAATTTTAATACTTATGGAAAGCAATCTTTAACCTCAATATACGTAAAAACTGGAAAAAAATATCGCAGTCGTGCATTTTCGAATGTCAATCCGCGCATTTTAGAATCGATCCCAAGAGAGCGTTGGTCCTCCTCGCCCTAAGTAACCGTATTGACCCTTGAACCGTCCCTATTGGTTGTCGATTGTCGGAGACTTTCCGAGTTGGACCATCTTTGAGCGAGAAACATATGAAGCCTTCACCCTTATCTTCGATTCGGTGTATTCGCGATCTGAAGGAGGGTGTGATGAGAAACCATAAAGAGAAAGGAATAAGCGATACTTCAATCTGGAAAAGATAAACGGCTGAGGACGAAAGTTTTAAGATAAAAGAGTCAAACTTTGTTGAAAATGAAGTTCGAGAACCCTTTTATTCGAATCTACCAAGTTAGATTGATTTTTTATTTCGGTCTATTAAATTACGTTCTAAAGTTAGTGCAATAAAGAACTTTCGCAGTTATCGCTTTTTACTTCAACTTTAATGCGAAACCCTAGGTTGTAGAAACGTCTCTTTATTCCTTGACTAAATGAAATCAAAAGATTATTACCACTTCTGCTCGATGTTATATGGTACGTTATTTTAATTGTTTCAAATTGCACCATTTACTGTCTTCAGATCGGTTATGGTCCATCTCAATAAAAAACTGTTTGTAAATGAAACTCAACATTCAATTGACACTAACAATATTTAAGAAATATTTGAATTAATTTGTCATTATCATCATAACAAGGACGTTAGTTGGAAGATTTGTACCTCCACCAGTCGTATCCTGGACCAGTGTTCGCATTTGACAAAATTTAAAGCTCGTTCCTAACTGCTTACAAGTAATAGATAATTGCAATCATATCATCATCATCACCAAATGTTTGCATCTCCCAAAAAATGTAACATTTTCTGCATCTTTAACTACTTATGAACAGTATTTAGTCTAGGTCTTTTTTTGTCTCTCCCCATTTTTGTTTCTGCTTCTAATATGTCTCTAACCAACCCTTGATGCCTCAGAAGACTTCCTAATGTTCTATCCATCTCTCCCACTCTTTGTTGACTTCCATAGGCTCTCTGTCTCTCCAACTTTTTCCAATATTCCCTCATTTCTAACCTTTTCTGTCGAAGATCGGCGACTTCCTATGAGCTTTTCTCTCTATTAGCATCAAAATAAATCATTTTCAAACGTCCAAGTTTTGCGAACACAAGAAAAATTTTGAAAAGTCCTTCAGGTCATCATTGTAATCATTTTTAAAAACTTTTTTTTTTTGACGTGACAACGTCTTATAATTCGATGGAGCAAGCTGCACGCACGAAAAAACATGACTCATGCGGCGTTATCTCGCTCTGAGGCGTTCCATTTAAGATTTGAAGTGCAAGCGAGAGCGCGGAACGAGCGACAAAGAGGCACAATCGGCCTCCGCGTTCGGCAGCGTTCGACATCTGTCTCTCTCCTACTTGAGTGAGCGATGCGTCCGCGTGGACAGCTGCTATACAATAATACATTTCCATTTACCTCCTTCTCTATATCCATACAAAACATCTATCAAACAAATAAAATTAAAATTTTATTTTGACAAATGAAACTATTCCATCAGTATCAGTTGTCACGTTCAACTATCGTCAGTAAACCGACTTTACAGACAACCGACTTTTTTTTAATGAATCATCGTCTGAAGAGTGCCTATTACTTACATACTCCCAAGATATGGAATAAATAGTTAAGTAATAAGAAGAAAACAAGAATGCCCGTTTTAGGTTGAACAAGAAACTAATATTTCCATACCTGATTGATGTGATCAAGCAATTATTTTTACAATATAGTCATACAATTTTTGCTCGTTTACTCATGAGATATATGTACCTACAACATGTAATTCTTTTGCCTCATAATAACTTATGGGCCATTCTTTTTTTGTTCGACACAAACAAGGTTCATGCATCTTAAGCAGGACGAACAAGATCAAGTCACCTTGCACCGATCAAGCGATTAAAATATCTCTTGCAGACAGCAATATTTGATTAGGTGGTTGACGTTCGTCCAAATTTTTAATCAGACTTATATGACAGAACGTTTTTGTTCATAAGGACATTGCTATTGATTTTCTTTCTTAAAACCGTCATAGGTAGAACGTTATTAAATGCAATACATAAACGAAAATTTAATTGAAGTCTGATGTATTTCTCTGGGATTATCGACAATAAATGTATTTCGTGAACACAAGGACAAAAATTGGATCTTGTAGAAAGTGGCATCAATGTAGAATATCTGACGATTTCGTCGAAAATAATGAAAGTGTCCAGGTTTTGGGAATCCAGTTTTCGTCCATGTTGTACATATGTCTGCTATTGAAAATGTCCACAGTTGAAGCTTTTTCTGCATGATACACCAGAGAGAGTATGTCTGGATCTCCTTTTCCATGTATTTCTATCTTCAGATAATAGAAGGCCATCTAGGACACCAAAATACCACTAAGAATGAATATACCTGATGAGGCCATTCGCCACTCGATCTCTTCAGAAGATCCCAGAATGTGTTCCATTTATCCATTGGAAACTTATTGTAATCTAATGTTTTAGAATCAAATAATCATCAGCTTGCAATTTTGATAAGAAATGAATCTGATTTTCATTCAGGTGGCCATTTTTATGGAGTACCTACACATTTCTTATTAAGAGGAGCAAATAGATAGCATTCTGTTGATAAATAAATTAATGTTTGTGGTGTAGAGAGACGATAATTGAAATCCTGTTGTAGAAGTAATCATTTCATCCATGCGGCCGAGGTGAAATAAATATCAAGATAATTGGTCTTTGGTTATGTTGTACCTACACCACCTCGACTAAACTACTTCATCACCGTCGTCACCGTGGTCGTTGTATATGAAGTCATCAACCCTGTACAATCAATTTACATGCATATCATGCAATTATCGTGGAACTGGTGCACCAGCGAACGATATAATACACTTTCGATCGCTAGAAAACTGGCCTCTAAGCACAGTTCCGTTACAGGCGAGATCGATGGCAACGGATACACGGCTGTATCAGGCTGGCCACTACATGCCACCAAGACATACTGCTAACATCACGCCCTTAAATTACCATGTTAATTATAGTGCTATGACGTTGGGGTGCTAGGTAGCGTGTTTGAAAGTAATATTCGGTAAAACTGTAGCTGATCCGTCGACACACACACAAGCCGAGAGATATATTTTGTTCGCGTTTTTGTTTCCCGTCCCGTTCTAAAAACGGCGAACAAAAAGGGACGCAGAGTTCGCGACGGACGGGACGTCGAGTCGTTGTCGGAGAGATTTTGGTAGTCGACAGCTGTGCATTTATCCATAATCAGTACATTGTACACATATATGTGTGTACACGGTGTAAATGGCTTTTAATTTTGTTCATACGCTTGTCTGCCCAATCGCACCAAACGAAATATAAATGAAACCGCTTTGTACGAGATAGCTTATTATTATTCGTGGGAATTAATAGGTTTGGTTTCTGATAGCCAAATAACCATAATTTAACGCTAATTTCATCGATCCCGATAGACGTCGAATGACATGCAAACAGATTTTGAATGTTTAAACAACTCCTCCTACCACTTTGTAAATAACCACCCATTGGGACATTATTGCTACTTTTATAATCGCCGCACCAGCCTACCGTCGATTATTCTGATTAATTTTAGTACACGAAGTGAACCTTTTATTTCTCACACTTAAAAAATGAGAGTCTTGCATATATTTCGCTAACATCATTACAACATAATCTTGATCAAGTCGGAGTTCTTCTAATAGTTCATTAAGCGTATCGACCTTTAGGTGATGAAGTCAAAATTTAGTCTGATCCACTGATGTTAAATGCATATGCCAATTAAACCTCTCATAACGGAGGTTATTCTTGAAAAAAACCTCTTGAAGAGCTCCACAATTGATTTATGGCTTTTCTAACTTTTTGTCAAAAGGAATAGGGATTCTGTCGCTTTTCCTGTCCATGACTGCGATTTTTTATAATAATTTATAATTTCCTGAAAAATCAAAAACACATGGAAATAGTGGAAAACATTTTTTTTTTCTCTTTGAAATTTTCATACAGACACAGTTAGTCCAAGACAAGGAAGGAATTTAATCGAATGTAATCTGAAAAAGAATGTCTCTACAAGGTCCAAGTAAAATTTTTACAGTAATTCATGATAGCTCAGGATGGGAAAGAGTGGAGGTGCGTGTCCAATCAGACCGAGCAGCATGGCCTAGAGGTAGACCATTGCTTAGCATTCGGAAGGACGCCGGTTCGATTCCGGGTCCGTCTGCCTTGGTTCAAGTTTTTCTGGGGTTTCCTTGGATCACCTAGACAAATGCTGGGGCAGTAATATTCCACAGATAATCTTTCATTCTCTTCTGTCTTTATTTCGTCCGTCTCATCTTTATCACCCAAACCACCATCCCACCCATTCCCACGATTCCTGAAAGAAGGCCTTCCGCCCTACCTTCCGGCGTAGTCCGGAGGGACTGCCCGCCCACCAGCATTACTGGCTGCTGGGAATGAAACACCCAAAAGTTTTTTTTTTGTCCAATCAATCTTAGGACTGACGACTTTATGATGATGATCATGATGATTATTCCACATTTGATACAATCAGTGAAATTTAAAGGATTTCCCTCTGACCAGTCAAAACTCTAATCTGAAGTTTCAGATCTTTCTCAAATGTCCTAATGCTTCATAATACTGATATTTCTGATATTAATCCTAAAAATGACCCTGCTGATGATTATTTAACAATTACCTAAATATAGCTATATGGCCTAAATTCCAAGAAATATTCATGTAAAGGCATTTCATATTTTTTTTTGTATTTGAAGGTTTGGTTTCAAAATCGACGTGCGAAATGGCGCAAAAAAGAGCACACAAAGAAGGGCCCAGGACGACCTGCGCATAACGCCCATCCGCAATCGTGTTCTGGCGAACCAATTCCTCCTGCAGAACTGAAAGCTCGTGAACGCGCAAGGCGCAGGAAAAAACTCCAGAAAGCTTTAGAGCGTCAGGCGAGAAAGCTCAGGGCAAAAGGTATCACCGTTGATCTCGTTTCGCTCAAACGGGAGTACCTTAGCCAAAGAGGTGCCGATGGGTTCGATAGGTAAGAGGACCCTTATTATTTTCCTTTTCAAAATTACTTCTGTCAAAAATCATATGAGAATTGTCTTCTTGAAACATTTCCTCCATCTAAAATTATATCTAAATTATGTATCCATGAACTTGTTTGTTCAATTTGGTTATCGCGTAGAGGTGAGCTATGCCATGGATTTTAGTTCAGCAAGTAGATATCCATCAACATAAATGAACCTTGTTGAATATACTGAATGTGCACTGAACCATATCCAGGTTTATGTTCAAGTATGTTATTTATTGGTGGTATAAAAGCAAAGAAGAACAACAAAATACAAAATCTATACATGCTTCTATATGTAAATAAACATGAATGATTGTTTTTCATAAAATCTATGGAAATAAATAAAGCTCTCTGTCAAAATCTAACACCTTAATGAAGAACGCATTAAAACTAGTGACTTTTTCTACCTACCCGTCTAAATTAGACCATTAATCATTACCGATTTTACTACACATATATAGTTTACTCCTAATGATGATTACATAGGTCAAAACAATTGTTGAATACAATTATAGTTAAATTTGGTGAAACTTAAACACTGTTCTTCTTTCTGTTGTCGTTCATTGATGATTCCTGTTTCACAAAAATTAAACCTTTTAATCCAATACATCAGTGAACTAACTTTACCCACTACAGATAATTTCAAATTAATGAGGTATTGACGTGTATTCCCGTCGAAGGAGTGACAGCAACAACAATTTCTCTTCATTAATTTGAGTACAGCATGCATTTTATCATTTTTTAAATATTGGAGTTTTTCTAGTGGTTTGGACCATTTCACCAGCTGCGAAGATTGAGTATGATTCATATTTTTCTGTTTGAAGTGATTGAGATGTAGTTTTTCTATCTCTATTTTATAGTTTCTTGAGTTCAGCAAAAAATAATTCTTCTATATGCTTCCTTATTTACCTTTGTCACCCGTTTTAATTGGAAAAAACACTGATGCCAAAATAGTTTGTTTAGCGTGAAAGACCAGAGTCAAAATGGATGAGTTGCAATTAATTTCATTGATGTAAAATCAGCATCAATCATTTTATATCAAAATATTTACAACAGCATTTTGTTTCCGATCTTTTACACATTGTAATAAGAGAAAGAAATGGAATCCACAGTTTCTTTAGCTTTGGGTTTATCTAATAAGTAAAGTTTTCCGAATCGTTTTCTAAGAATTTTGTATTATAGGCATTTATTATCACACCACAGTATCTTGTAGTTTTCAGTTTTACACAGTTGGCGTATATCAATTCGATATTGATTTGGGGTTGTTTTGTCGTAATTCGTATAATTTCGTAGTTCCTTGCTAAAGGTACGATAAGTGGTGATTTGGCACGTGCTGATATCAATTTGGAACTTCAAAATTCCATGAACCATAATATTGAACCCAGAAAACTATATCGATCCAATATTTTAGATTATCCACCTCCAAGAAATTCAGAAATTTTCTGGGCTCTCTTGAGTTAAAGAATTAGAAGGCATTCATGAAATGTCTCTTTGTTCCCTTTTCAAGCTTCTAATGCCTTCAATGTCCAATGTGAGCAACTTTCATTCATCATTTTATATAATGTTTGATCGATGATACTAGGAAAACTTTTAACTGCAAAAATGTATTTTGCACTTTACAAAATAGTTTTGGAAAGGTGTTTGAAATAAAATACAAAATGCTTGTCTCAAAAGAGTATTTAAATGCAAGATAAAAATAGGGATTATTTATTTTGTATTTCAAAATCATATCTCTGAATTAGAGGTTATCTATAGTGGGTGAAGTTAATTCAAAAAATTAATTCACTAATGCATGGAATTTAACGCTACAAAAATTGAAATTGTCTCATCTTTGAATATTTAAAATGTTTAATCTCCTTTGTAAAGCGTTCGCAACTACATTTTGTTTATTGAATCAGCATCGACAATTGTACTATTTTTGCAGCGATAGCGACATCGACGTCGTAGGAGATTCTGGTGCGGAAACGGAAAGCCTTAAAAGCGTAGGTAGTAACGAAATTCAAATTCGATTTCATCACACCTCCCCAATTACAACATCCCCTAACGAAAACGGAATCGATCTCACAGGTAGTCCTCCCGACGACAAAATGAGGCGGCCGAACCCATTCAGTATAGAATCTTTACTGAACACTTAAGGTCTTTTTAATCCTTTGAACGCTAAGTGTACCTACCTATTTAGTAAAGTGCGCGAGTACCGCATATCGTTTAATATTTTTGTAAATTATTGACAACAACGTAACGTACTAGACAACACTATATAGGTCTTTCACGCCTGTTAACATCAAGCATAAGTGTACTGTCTACTTACAGATCAATAAATTCAAGAGGTATGACTCGCTTGCGTTGTGGGCGTTGACGCACGTTGTACCTTGACACATTGTAGCGCGTTGACTCGCGTTGTGTGTGTTACTTCACGCTACGTTGTGTTGATCCCCAGCATTTGTTTGTTTTGAGGAATAACATAATTAATAGTTACTTATACGGTTTCTGCAGTGACATAAAGTCAGTCATTTGTTAAATTATTTAATTACAGGAAATTCAGTTGGTCGTTCTATATTAATTATTTATTGTTTTTTTTTCTGTAAATAAACAATCAGAGTTATTTATACACGAATGCTTGGTGTTGTGACAGGTGTTGCAATACTTTATATAGACATCCTTGAAAATATTTGTAAATAGCATAATCCTTGTGTATAAACGTCCTTAATCGGGTAAAAAATCGTCATGTAATTATTATTATTATTATTATTATTTATCGTACATTTTAAATATGATTGATTTTTTATTTNTATTATTATTATTTATCGTACATTTTAAATATAGCAATACAAGTTCAAATTAGATTAGCAATTCGAAAAGTATGTTCAGACAAATTACAATTGTTTTAAATTTTCTCAATTTGTTATTACTTTATAATAGAAAGACAAAAAAATATAGGTAATAATATCAATTGTAAATGTCCAGTGAAAAAAAAAGGTTCCCAGTGATAAAATCAATTTTTGTAAAATACGATATATTGTTTATTGATATAGATACAATTATTATTTTTTTTTATTTGAGATTTTTATTTTGTTGTGATGTCAACAATGTGGTACATTGTGAACGGACGTGAGTATAAATTATTATAATTTCTTTTGTTGAGTGCATATGTAAATGGTACAAATGAAACTGTAACAAACTGTTTGTGTTTATAATGCTAAACATGACATAATATGTGCCCACAATAATTAATATATACAGCCTTTCCGCAAACTGGAAAGCATTATTATTATATAAATTGATTTAATTCAGAAATCAACAGCAATTTGTTAGACTTAATTGACTGCTAATAAAGGTCCTTAATTATAGGAATTTCGCATTGTTTTATTGATCTTTCCATTCTTAAGTCCTTATCATGATTTATTTTATTCCTTTCTGCACTGACATACAACGCAAATTACATCAGCAATATACTACTCCGGGAATAGCCCCAAATCAGCTGCATATTCATTAATACACACTACGAGGTCTGTTCAAAAAGTATCGCGAATTTTTGTGTTTTTCCACAAATTATTTATTCATGAATATCACTTTTCTCGGTCTTGGCTCCTGGGCAGCATCCAATGAGATGATTGAGCATTGGTTTGGTTTCCACGTCATAACCATAAACCCATGATTCGTCACCAGTTACAACCCTCTGGAGAAAATCTGGGTCGCCGCAGACGTCCTTAGCAATGTTAATGCGATACTGTTTTTGGTCGAAATTGGCAAAATTCGAATGGCAGGAGCCAGTCGATATATTAAGGTCCTCAGCAACTTCTCTAACGGCGATTCGACGATTGACCAATTCCTTTTTTCTTCACTTCATCAATGTTTTCGTCTGTTGTTGACGTGCTCGGAAGTTCGGCACGCTCTTCGTCTTTCACATCATCTCGGCCCTCTGAGAACATTTTGTACCACCGATAAAGGTTAATTACTTCGGTCCAAAGTAACTTCAAGTACATTCAACATGGCCGAACTTGTCGGTATAAGTAAGAGACATGAGTACCAACATAACGCCACAAAAAATCGAAAATTGAGTTAGCGTAACCCGCGGAAATTCTAAATTCGCGACATACCTTGTACGTCTAACCGGCAGTATCTATAGAGTGCTTCTCGTGATGGTGCCACAACGTGGCGGGTGTAAAAAGTATGCACAAAAAGTATCCCAGTTAACGAGCCGTTCTATTGCCCGTCGTTATTGCAAGCGTTAAGTGACGAAACCCTCATACCTACTCGTGACCTTCGCAACAGCTGGTACACAGGCAGAACAATTGCACGGGTGACGATTAGTAGTAGTTGGTGCAGTCCGTAGTTCCCATTTGTTTGGCAAAGTTATAGCAATTACCTACTACAAAAGAGAAAAATAAGTTAAGTGTGAAAATCAATCAGAAAACAATGTGGACATGGTGGTCACATACAGACCATGAGAATACACGAATGCGCGTCGCCGAAACAGCTGGGGCTTTCGGTAAGGTCATCACCCTCATGTTTATGCATATCACTGACTGGTTTGAGACGGCTCATTCTATTTCTTTTTTATGTACTTTCTTCTCCCTTAATTTTTCCGGAGGTACTAATCAATAATAATGAATAAATACTTAACGATATTAGCATTGGAATGCCCTAGACCTTCCCACTTCCATCCTAGCAGCATCAACCGCCTACTTTTATTACTTTTAGCCCACGTTAAAGGGCGCGTAGTGTACCTACTTTCATTACTTGAGGACAAATTCCTGAAGCAATCACTTCGTATCGGCTGCATATCGAAAAAAAAAAAAAACAGTTAAAAAAAAGCTTTTGGATGTTTTATTCCCACCAGATGGTGGTCGGGCAGTCCCTTCAGACTACGCCGGAGGCTAGGTCGGGAGGCCCTCTTTGACCTCCTGAATCGCGGTAATCGGTGGGTTGGAGTAAGCAAGATGAGATGGACGAAATGAAGACGAAAGAGAGTGATCCAAGAAAACCACAGCAAAACTTGGACCAGAGCAGACGGACACGGAATCGAACCGGTCGGTGTCTTCTCCGAATGCTTAGGAATGGTCTATACCTGTAGGTCATACCAGTGTGTCGGTATATTGACTACACACCCTTTATTATGTTTTTGGGTTTTTTACTTTTTTGGTGTAGAAATACTTCCGTAGCTTTTGAATCAAAAACAGTGCAAAGTTGTATTTCATTTATTCGTTCGTTGTTTTCAGTTTTGCAATTGTTTCAAAAGTTTTAATTAATATTTTCAGGTTCGACTACATATTGACTGACAAACTTCCTCTATTATATGGTGTTCTTGGGTCTATCACTTTTGTGTCAGTTAAAGTGCGAAAAGCATATGCCTTCTTGAACTTGCTTGGCGAATATTTTGATAGCATTATTATAAAGAACGTTTCAAAGAGAATGTATAAATACTTATATGAAAATTACTTATTCTATTATGGTTGCATGAAATATTATTAAACAATTATGCAGATATCAGAAAGCACGGTATAAAAATCCTTTTGTTTTTCACGGTTCAACAACTTTTATTACGTGTATATTTTACACAATCTATTACTACAACACGATAAAATTATTACAGTGATTTTTTCAAATGCTACATGCAGTTTAATCGTTTTTCTGATTGAATCTATTATTAGCACGGTAGGCAGTGTTTTAGAAATATTTTAAACATTCATTTCCGTGTTGCAGTTATATTTCTGTAATTTAATTCCATTTCATGTAATAGTTATATATTTAATTACCTCATTTCGAAAAAATTGACGCCTTTATTATATCTAATAATAACACGGAAAATAAAAATACCATTAATTGTAGAACAGCAATTTTTCCTTTCTGTATTAAATTATCCAGGAATTAACACAATTAATGCTTTCCGGAAGTGTGGCCTAGTACATTAACAGGTGGGTGCTAATGTGTTCTTGTATTTTTACGGAATGAGAAACAGTGTAATTATTTAAATTTTATGACATTTTTAATTATTAATAGTGGTTAATATGAAATATTAATGTGAAAATTTATTTTCAATTTTCCATCTACTACAAACTACCTTAGGTTAATGAGGGTTCAATTCTCGGCGGGAGTGTAACAATAGCAACAAAAAAAAATTCCCTCTTAACCCTGAGGTAGTTTGTAGTGGAATTTTCACATTAATATTTAAATTCCTTTCGTTAACTATTTCGAGGATTGATATTGTAGCGTCAAGTACATATGCACATAAAAAATACATACATTCATGCCCTTTCTGATGTGTGGTGTTGCTTCGGGCATCAATCATCGCAGCAGAAGTTTTTTTTTCTAACCCAAGCCGCCTTGTAAGGTGTTTAAAACGTAATAAATAACTTAAAAAGCGGTTCAACAGTTTTTACTGTAATTTCGTTGAGCATATCGCGTGTGCGGACCGTTATCTGATCCAAAGAGTTCCGATTGCAAGTTAATGACTCAATTGCGAGCAATATTTCCACTTATTTTGACTCCGGGCTCTTTGTTTTCTACTTCAGCCAAAGACGATAACAGAAAACATAACTGCTCAACCATTTCAACTGCTCTCTTAATCATTCTTGTTATTTGACATGCGTTCCCAACGAAAGCACTGTTTAAAAGGCACAACATTATTTTGTTAGTTTATATTTTGTTACTAAGGAAAGCAAAATACATGGGCGACTTCGAAGTCAGTTCATCTTTGATCCAAATATCCAACTTTCTCAAGAAGTAAGTAGGCAAGAGTTTACGTAAAAGAGTTCTCTTCGACCATAAACTCTCATTAGTTGCATTCAGTTAATTTTATCAATTAAGAATCAAAAAGAGAACTGTCTTTATCGTTACAGTATCATTTGATGCAGAAGACCAACCTATGTCTTTCATTTTTCTACCATCTTCTCATCTATCTCGATTTTATTTTCCTATTTCCTGAAATAGAAAAAGGTTTTTTATTTAGTTATATGTATATAATATAAATTATCATACGGTCTTCCTACTAAAATGGGGCAAGGCAATTATCTATTTGGTAATCGTTATCTCATTTGTTCCTGCTGTTCTTTTTACAATCCTAATTTTGTCTAATTATGGTGTCACTAACTAGATTTCTCCATCTTTTCTTTTCCTAGGCTGACTCTCTTTCCTGGTGTAACGTCATACCACTCTCTGCAAGATTTTGCAGATTTCGTCTGTCCATCTGTTCCTCAAACTTCCTCTCTTTTTCTTTTTAATTATTCCAGTTTCCCAAAAATGCTCAACGATGTCTATCAGGATATCCACTTATTAAACTAAGTCCACGAAAAATAACCCTGTAATGATTTGTTTCCCTTCCTGTAATCACCATTAATTGTAGTAACCTCCGGCAGGATGACGTAGAAACCACATTTCTTCATAAATACCATGGGATAATGCAACACCCAAATATCTTGAATCTGACTTATACGACTGTGTAAAATTTATCTCCATTTTCCAAGTACCTATAGATATCATTGGTTGCAGTATTCTTCTACATCTTGGAGATTTTAAGTACTCTTTTTTTCCCGTTGAAGACTCCAATGATTTCTTTTCGTAAATAACCTACCCATTACTTCTGGTAATCTCCAGGATTATTCAACATCGAGATTAGCCACAACTTGTTTTCTTTTCTAGTAAATGTCATCGGTTAAAAGAACATCCTGTATCTCACTGAAGACGTTTAACATCTCCCTGTTTTCGTGGAAGACTGTCGGATTCCCGAGGAAGGTGTCCTCGGACCAACCGACTAAAACTCCTCTATT